AAAAACTATCAATCAGACGACAGAAGCATGGAGTAGATTGTGTGCGACAGGTTTTACAGCAAAGTTTGATTATTTAGAGGCCTTCACATTATGAAACACTTCAATCTAATATTAAAAATCAACGATTTTACATATGCTTGATTGTTTATATCGTCACAAATGGAACTATATTATCATCCAGCTTAGCAACAATATAGCAATAATATGAAGATATTAAAATATTATAAACATCATGATTGTCCGTAGAGCTGCTTTGAAACACAGTGATTTAATTGTACATGTCGTGTCTTTCAGCTTTGATCTGACACAGAGAGGGCTAATGGTGTACTTCCTGTCCGCGGAGGGCGTAAAGCCCTCGTTCCACTCCGCTGTCCTCTTTAACCCCGCCATCAACGGTTCCTCCACGCCGACACCCGTCATCTGCCGTCTGGACGCTTCCTCGTCTGCTGCCTCACTGCAAAGCAACGTCTCGCTGACGTCATACGACCTGTCGCCGGCGGAGGTCACGCTCCTCGGCCTCGTGTTTGGGGTGTTCTGGGTCATATCGGTGCTGGGAAACTCGCTGGTGTGTCTGGTGATCCATCGGAGCCGCAGAACCCAGTCGACCACCAACTACTTTGTGGTGTCGATGGCGTGCGCGGATCTGCTGTTGAGCCTAGCCTGCGCGCCGCTAGTTCTCCTGCAGGTTTCCGCGGGTCACTGGCCTCTGACCGCGGCTGCGTGCAAAGCCGTGCGCTACCTGCAGCATCTGTGCCCCGGAGTCCAGGTCTACGTGCTTCTGTCCATCTGCGTGGACCGTTTTTACACCATTGTGTATCCGTTGAGCTTTAAAGTGTCGCGCGAGAAGGCCAAACGAATGATTCTGGCATCTTGGCTCTTCGACGCCGCGTTCGTATCGCCGTGTTTGTTCTTCTACGGATCGTCGGCGTCGCAAAACCACTGCGACTTCTTCCTGGTGGACAGCTGGGATACTGTTTTATTTGACGGTAACATGGCGGAGGAGGCATTCTGTGCTGCGTTTTTAAAAAAAAATCATTCCTGAGCGCCGCGTCATGCATTCTGTGTGAACGGCCCCTTATAGAAGATATTTTGAAGAATGTTGGTAACCAAACAGTTGATGGTCCCCATTGACATCCATAGTATTTTTTAAGTCAATGGGTACCAGCTGTTTGGTTACCAACATTCTTCAAAATATATTCATTTGTGTTCAGCAGAAGAAACTCATACACATTTGGAACAACTTGAGGGTGAGTAAATGATGACAAAATGTTCATTTTTGCGTGAGCTATCCCTTTAACTCATAATGATATGCGAATTAGATAATTTTTGAGTGAACTGTTGCTTTAACTGCCACCACACACAACAGAATCAAAACCACTAAACTAAATCTGTTGAAATGCAAAAAACGTGGTGCTAACTAGTTCGGATACACACTGATGACATGGAGGACAACTACAAAACACCCTTATAGTCACTGCTGTGATCCAGTGGAAGGAAAGCGCTTGAACGTCATGTGTTCTTCTGTTTGTGTTTCTGGTCAGTCTGTGATCCTATGGTGGCCTGGAGGCGCCAAACAGGGTTTATGTTAATCTTCAGAAGATGCGTTTGTGTTGTTTTGTGCCTGTAGTTACAGATAAACGTCGTCTCATGGTTTTTGTGTGTCGTTTGATGATGCAAGACAGACGTGTGTCCCTGTGATTTTACAATTTAACATTCTGTACGATTCAAATGCACGTCCGCAAACAGACGCAAATCGACAGGAATAACTCTCTAATGTCTGAATTGTCGTATTAATCTGAATGCAAACAGAAAAGCTTATTTGTGACCCTGGAGCACAAAACCAGTCATAAGGGTCCATTTTTCGAAATTGAGATGAGAAATAAATAAGCTCTCCATTGATGTGTGGTTTGTTAGGATCTGACAATATTTGGCTGAGATACAACTATTTGAAAATCTGGAATCTGAGGGTGCAAAAAAATCTAAATATTGAGAAAATCATCTTTAAAGTTGTCCAAATGAAGGTCTTAGCAATGCATATTACTAATCAAAAATTAAGTTTTAATATATTTACGGTAGGAGATTTACAAAATATCTTCATGGAACATGATCTTTACTTAATATCCTAATGATTTTTGGCATAAAAGAAAAATCTATAATTTTGACCCATACAATGTATTGTTGGCTATTGCTACAAATATACCCCAGCGATTTAAAGGGGTC